GGTTTTGTACATTTGGATTTTGGCACGCCTTGAGAGAAGCTTTGAGATTCATCTCTCCTCACCTCTATTTAATTAAAGCAAACGTGGTTTAAAATTTTGACTAAGGTTAAAAAAGCAAAATGGTTATACTTACAGGTTAACATGCCAGAGCAACCAAAATATTAGGGTGAAGACTCTTTAGAATACATAAGTTTACCAAAGATTGTACATATTGTTGTTAATAATATTTAATGTTTAATATTTAATTATATTTTACTTTAGGTAACATACACCCATGCCTTACGTGAGTTCCAGCGCCCGGAGAGTAAACCTCTTCAAACGGACTTCAGCCTTTATACAGATCTTTATACAGTCTTTATATAGATCTAATTTTAGAAAAATTTTTGAGGGATATTATGTAACAAAGAGACGTCTTCTGGGATGTTGAGGGTATGTTTATGTTGTGCGAGATGTTGTGAGAAGGTGGAAGTGTTCTCTTTTTTAGTGTCTTCTAGGGAACGGGAAGTTGGTGATCTACAGGTTCTACCTATAAATGTAGCATCACAATCAGAGGCACTGTAATTTGTAAACACCACTACGATTCATGTAGTTGATGGGATCTTTTGAATTAGTTCTAGGACAAACTTTATACGGCTAGGACGGTTTATAAAGATACCAACGCAAATGCTAATTTGTAGTTTCGAGTAATTGCGATCCAACGAAGAAACTTCTGTCTTCTTTACTATGTCTGCTACTTTAATAAGTACTTCACTGTTTAAACTAGTAACAGTATGGTCGAACTTACAGTTGTCAGTTGTGATTTTGGCATGCCGAAACTGCGTTTCAAGCTGGAAAAACCATAGTTCTGGTTCAGTGTGCCAAAACTCTGGCGCTTTGATGCCTATCTGTGCAATTAATGAGTGATCATGATGCCTTCTCATAGTGCAATATTCATATTGTTTGAAATGTTTTCTCGTAAGGTGACTACGGAAGACGAAACTTTTAAGAGTGGTGAGTACACCTGCAGCGTATTACATTACCCCATAAATATAGGGAAAAAACGAACAAATCAGTTGTATAAGAAATTTATTTAGTACACAGCGCGTCACGAAAAAGAGGCCAACTAAATTGTTTGCCATTTTTTAATTTTTGCGAATCATACCACAAAGTGATTGTCATTAGATGTTTGTGTAAAGGCGCGTCCACACTGGAGCAACATTTGGCAACTTGTAGCAATTTTATGTTGCAACAAGTTGCTAAATGTTTAATTTATTAAACTTTTGACATAAAACAAACTGTCCTCACTAGTGCAACAATGTTAATGAATGTTTGAACTTGTTGAATCACAAATTCAGTTGAGTACAACATTCTGTCCATACTGCTGTAGTTTTGTGACATGATGGAGGAAGACTTATTAACTGCTACCGCGTGCTTTCTAATTTTGTGTGGTGATTCACGAAAACGGAAGCGTAAATGTTGGGTCCGTCCAAGTTTGAAGAAAAGGGAAAAATATGGTGGAAAGGAAATATTATCGGATTTAAAGAAAGATGACGTTTTATTAGAACTTCGAACCGATGGGTGCTTCAAAAATTTTTTGCGCATGAGTAGTTCAGATATGGAATTTTTGCTGCAAAAAATTGCACCAGTGATAAGAAAAGCAGATACTAACTGTAGAAAGGCTATACCTCCACAAGAACGATTAGCTGTAACATTGCGCTTTCTGGCAAGTGGAGATTCCTACAGCAGCTTGATGTATTTATTTAAGATTTCGAAACAAGCTATCTCAAAGATAGTACCACAAGTATGTGCTGCGCTAGTAAATGCAATTAAAGACCAAGTTAAGGTAAGTAAACTTTATTGTACTTTTTTATTGATAACTTTAGAAGTTTTACATGTTACTTAATTGAAATGCCTCTGCGAGAATGTTTGAGGGACCAAAAGCAGTAGAGGAGTCTGAAGAGTTTTGTATGTATGTCTCCGCTGGTGATATAGCTGGTGAGCTGCAATACGATGAATGTGATTGTGGTCTCGTGGAAGGTTGCATTGATAAAATTGGCTCATATGTGTTAGTTGATTGTGGCATTCCATAATCATATTTACCCATACTTGCATCGAACAAAATATTACCTATAAGATGTTCTACAATATTTTGTGCGCAGGTGGTATTCAAATCCCTAATTTTACACGCCATATGTTCTCCAAATACATCGAATTTGTCTCGCTGTCGTTTATTTTGTATGTCTTGAATTATTTTATATGCCTCTTCTTTTCGAGCGTTATCATCGATTTTTCTTGTAAGTGTTTGTGTGACACGTCTATTTTTATTAGGGTATTTAAATTCATCAAGATTTGTGCTGTTCGGATTTTCCACGGTTTTTTTACGAGGCTCTTGAGAGGTCTTGTTTGATGCCGAAGGCTTCTCACAAGCAGCGTTAGATGTTGATGGGTTTTGAGAACCATCGTTATACAAGTCTTTCATGCCTTCGTTGCCATTTTCTGCATCTTGAAATTCTTGGGTCTCATTTCCACCTTCATCACAATCTGTTACTTGTGAATCATCTAAATCCGTTTCGGAGGAAGAGTCATTAAGGTCATCCTGAAAAGAAAAATACATTGTATAAAATGTAAACACTACAAATAGGAAAACGCCTAATATTACAGTGATCTACATTTTTAGCATAAGTAATGATATCTTTGTATTTCAGATGCCTAAAACTGCTCAAGAATGGGAAACAATTACTAATGGTTTCAGTGTTCTTTGGAATTTTCCAAAATGTGTAGGCGTCATGGATGGTAAGCACATTGCAATACAAGCACCAAAAAACAGTGGAAGTGATTTCTTCAATTACAAAACGTTTTTTAGCATTGTTCTGTTCGGCGTAATGGATGCTAATTACCGATTTTTGTATTTTCATGTAGGCTCCCAAGGGAGAATATCTGATGGAGGAGTTTTCGAAAATACATTATTCAAAAAACTATTAACTCGCTGCAAACTCAACCTTCCAGAAGATAGCTCTTTACCAGGACGTGAGAAATTAGTCCCTCACGTATTTTTAGGGGATGATGCCTTCCCATTATCACCAAATTTACTTAAACCCTACCCTGGGGCGCAGGACAAAGGGTCTCCCAAAAGGATATTTAATTACCGTCTCAGTAGAGCGAGAAGAATATCAGAAAATGTTTTTGGAATGTTATCTTCGATTTTTAGAATATTTAGAAAACCCTTACTTTTAGAACCAGAAACTGCAGAAGTTGTTGTTATGGCTTGCATATACTTGCATAATTTTTTAAGGAATAGTTCAAGATCTAAAAATTCCTACAATCCCCCAGGTACATATGACGGTGAAGATAAAGATACATGACGTGTTTTAGAAGGATCGTGGAGAAGAGAAACTCAGAGTAATACATTTACTTCATACAAGAAAGTTGCACGAAATGCATCAACTGAAGCAAAAGATATTACGCAAGATTTTGTAGATTTTTTCGTTACACCTTTGGGGATGGTGCCGTGGCAGAATAATTATTGAATTATAATTCATGTATAAATTGAAATTGCCTACTTATTTGTTTGAATAATTAGTAACAGAAAAGTTAATATCTAAAAACATTGTGTGTTTACTTACCACGTTCTCAGCTTCACTTTCCTTGCATGGGCGGACTTTGTTTTTGTCTCGAAGAAATATTAATGCATCGTAGGCAAACCACTTGGAATGAAACTGAGCGCCTGCTCCAGATTTTTTCATGCTGCGATATTTTTTTTTCTCTCTATAAAACTGAGCCACCAAATTACGGATTTTTCTTTTTGCCTCTTCCTGAGATAAGCACCCTACAGCTGAACAAACTGCATTCCATGCATCATTTTTTGATTCTCTGCATTTATATTTCACATTTTTAGGATTCCAAATACATGGATGTTGTCTATAGTTGTCAATTAAATTTAAACAATTCTCCGAAGTTATTTAAACAAATGTCAAAAAATACCTTCTTCCAAAATAATGATTTTGTTGATAAATAGAAAAACTGTACATTTTTTCTGTTTTCTTTACAAAATTACAATTAAATCGTGATTATTAATACTTTGTATTACCACCTCTATTGTGAGTTACACTCCTCATTCGATTTGGCATTGAATTGATCAAATTCTGGATGTCATTTTGAGGAAAAGCTTCGTAGTCTGCCATGAGCCCCAACCGAAGCTGCTCACGATTTATTGGAGCAGGTATTCTGTTTTTTACCCTTAAACTGTAGTCGGCGTTGTCGATGTGCTGCTGTTAACAAAGGTTCTGTTTCTGGACAGCAAGCCCTTAGACCAAATTCTCTCAACCTTCTTCTCGCGGACAAGTGCTTAAAGTCCATCCGTGAGCATTTTGAAAACGGTTTTGGATTGATCTAGCCGTAAAGAACCAATTTAGCAAAGAAGTGCGTTGTAAAAAATGGTTTTCCTGACCGTCGTGATTCTTCTTGGACCTGATCCTGGTCGTCGTTCGTGAGATCCAGTCTCTACGAATCGTTGGTAAATTTTTTGGACCATACAACGCTGACTCCAAGCTGTCTGGCCACTTCTCTTTGACTCATTCCATTATCAATCAAAGTAACAATTTGAACAGATCTAGCAAATTTGTCAGCCATAGTTTTTAATTTTAAAAATTGCACAAGTTTACTCTTCGAACAACTGTACACTAGTGAAAGGTTTTTGAAAAACAGAGTAGCCATATTCCAAGAAAAAAAAGGTATAAACAACACGTGCCTTATCCGAAGTCGTAAAACTGATATCAGTTCTACAAACTTATTAAGTCTTTTAATTTTTAACCTAAAGAAAAAAATAATTCCAAAATACAAAAAATACATCGCAAAAACTTTGGTTGTCATGACAAACTTGTCAAAAACGATCTAATAATCTATGCTATTTTAAAGGAATTTCACAAATATGCAAAATAACAAACTTAAGCCTAACTTATTATTATTTTTCAATCTAATAATAATTATATATCATTGCATTACATTATATTGTGATAATTATTTTATTTATTTTTACCCTTGTCACCAGTTTTCACCTTTTTGATTGCTGCCTTTTTACGCTTGCTAACAATCTCTATTTTTTTTATTACTGCAGTTTTCTTGTTTTTTGAGGTCCTATTATTTATAACATTTCTTTGCTCTTTTTCTTTTTCTTCATCTTTCTCAGATTCGGTCTCTATGACTGTATGCAATACATTAGGATTTTTCTTCGCTTTTCTTGTTAATTTGTGGGGCAGATTACCATAAAACTCTAAAGCACCATCAGTTTCACAAAATGTTTTTAATTTAATTGCTATAAGTTTTCCCATTTTTCCAAACTGATTGGTACAGATTCTAAAAAAGAGAAACATATTGATACAAAGAGTCTTAAGACTTAATTCAGTTATTCATTACCTGTATACTTTTTATCTGGAAGAAAAAATTCGTCAGGTCCTGGCATTTCCGTTTGACTGATGAAAGCATTACGAACTATTGCAGTTTCCAAGGCCCCATTATAGCTTGAACGATATGTTTACTATCAGGAACTATACATTTCAGGAATTAAACCCCTATCTCTTAAATTGATTAAGGTCTTCACTTTGCTTTCCTTAAAGTTAATTTTTTACTGTAAAGAGCTGGTACCTCATTGATAGCAGTAGAAGTTAGTTAAGAGGCTTAAACGCAGCCACATCCGCTGATTGCATTAATCTCGTGGCATTAGAATATAAAGCTACTAAAATAATTTTCAAATCTCTACAAAGTTTACTTGTCTGTACAGTTAAATGGGTGTTATGCCCATCAATAAAAAGTATTACCGGAAGTGTAATATTATTTTGATCTAAATGAGGGTTAAATATATTTCCAATTTAATCGTAATAGTAATTTAGAAATAGTAAGTCCCGAAAGTGAAATTTATCGTAGACGAGTCCTGGAATCCTGCGAGTCTCGTAAAATTACTTTTGGATCGTATTACATACAATATTTTTTCTGTAGCCCTTTATGAACTTTTATTAAACACTTTAAAGTTACTCTCGTGAATTCAACATTAGAAAAAGCTATGTAGTAAAAATATGTGTGAAAAATCTATCCAAAGTTGATGTTATTGTCAAAGCCGTTATTATATTGTCAACAGCATCCATATGTTATAGTTTTTTCAAAATTTGTAATTGTAAAATTTACCTTCGGTTTCCCTTATAAGTTCTCAGAAAGTTCGGCGTGGGTAATATGTCTTAAAAGTGACTATTGCACCCTGATCCATTGGTTGGTTCAGAGCTGTTATATTTTTCGGAAGGTACTTAATTATGATATCTTCAGATAGTTCGGATAAATTAGTAAGAGGCTCTGGTGCAGTATCCAAAATTAGCAGAAGCTTGTTGCTTACATTATTGTCTCGTAAATATTTTTTCACTTCTTTACAAAAGTGATTTTTGAACCAATCCGCTTCATGAGCACACACTGAATAACGCTCGTAAACAAGAGGAAATAGAAGAGTGATATATGATAGATATATCGAAAGCTTATGTTGCTGTTATAGCAAAATATTTTAGACAAAAAATTGAAGAGAGCCATGATAGCAAAATGCTGTCTAAAGAGCAGCTGTATAGCGTGGTATGGGTGTATTACACATCTCCTATGTCTCCAACATTTGATTTATTGTTTCTTAGTTTGAACCAAATAATTCACATTCATTTGTAAATTAAATAAGTTATTCTAGTATTATAAGTGGTTATATCTGTATAGAAAATAACAGCATGAAGTTTTACAGGTTTAAATGCCTTACTTATACGACTCCATCTCTTAATAAAACAGGTTATGTAACAATATTATTTATATTGTTCTGAAGCTATTTTCTTGTGGCATTGTAAATTAATTACTATTAAACTGGGAATAAGCCACAATTAAAGATAAAAATACGTTTATTGACGTTTCAATTTCCACTTCGGAAATCGTTCTCAAAATACAAAGAGTAAATTAAACAAATTTTGTTTTTTGTTACATAGTGAAAAATTCTTCTAATAATTTAATTTTATCTGACTCATTTATATTGACAATTCAGACATACATTATGCATTTTGAAGTAGACGACTTTAAAATGATATTGCCAATATTGTTGAGTTGCGCTCCTGGGACGACTTTACTTATAAGATAGTTCATTCGATTACATGAAATCAACTTTAACTTGAGAATATCCGTCAGAAAAAAATCATAGCATGTAATTCGTCTTTAAAAAGACAAACACATGACATGATGACAGTAAAATTCTCCTGTTAGTGATTTCATATTAAATTATGAGGGAAAACCAGGAAAAAACCTCATAATACTATCCCGACATTGTAAGTATTTGTTCGTGAATTTAGTTTACCTTCAACAAACATCAAAATTCTGATTTTATATGTTACGTTATTTAAAAAACATAAATGATGTATCCTCTATATGTTACTGACTTACTAATACTGGTATTTTCTTATTAATAACTTCCTCTTTCAATATTGGTAACCAGATCCTACTACATTCTGCCGAGGAATTTGCGACACAATTGGCCTCATTTAGCATAATTAGAGACGCTTCTTTGATTTTTCTTTTTTTACCATCCGTTTCTATTTCACTATGTAACAAAAAACAAAATTTGTTTAATTTACTGTTTGTATTTTGAGAACGATTTCCGAAGTGGAAATTGAAACGTCAATAAACGTATTTTTATCTTTAATTGTGGCTTATTCCCAGTTTAATAGTAATTGATATTATTTATATCTGCCCAATACACTCGCAGCTCCTTCTGGATATCTGTGGAAGAAAGTAGTTGGTCCTGCAGCTGCTGCCACCTGTGTCTGAACAACAGGATTATTGCATATAGTGGGTGTTATACAGAGACTTAACGGCTTGATAGATGTAATAGATGCCTGTGAATGTCTCCTAGATTGTTGATCAATCCTATCTTGTAATGCTCTCATATTCGGACGAGGGACTCGAGTTACCAAGAAAGTTATCACTCCATCTAATATTCTGTTAGATTTAATATGGTCTATATCACTGATGATATTAAGCCTCTCTTTATATCACTGTCTATCACATCTGGTTTAGAAGACAGATAGCTTACATACATCCTAAATAGTTCGTCATTCTTCAGAGAATTCCAAAGCAGTGTTAAATCTTGTTCTGTTATCTTCTTAACACAATCGGTAGGAATAACATTCATCAGTCTTTTCATAGTTGACTCATCTTCATCTTGTGGAGGGATTGAGGGTGTTGTCTGAGCGTTAGAGGAGGAGTAGTGGCAATATGCTGAGTGAATATAGTACTCAGATTGTGAATGTTAGATACAATAGCATTCATGCTATCATGGATTTGGTTATAATGGTTGATAACCGTGCCCATATAAGTGATCAAGGATTCATCTTTCTTAGATAGTGTCTGCTTTATGTCATAGATATCTACCTTCAGTACCTCAACATCACATGCTATAGAGGATATAGCAACCAATTGCTGTGTTGCATGCTCATCTAATAAGGTTTTAATATTTCTTAATAGATCTTCTGGAACATAAGAAATTGGTGATTTTTGTTTTTCGATGTTTTGAGGATCTAAAAGATTTTCCAACTCGGCATCTTCTGGAGGAGTTGTTTTGGAAAGGGAAGTTGTAGTAATATAGTGAGAGGGCAATGTTTCTTCTGACAATCTTATACTGTGTTGAGATAAATCCAAAAACTCTTCTAAAGATTCTCTTGATACAAGCATCTTTTCTTTTGGGTCTATTACTATCTCCAATTCTCTATCTCGGTGTCTGAGATACAGATGTCTCAGAAATTGCTCACGTTCTTTTTGATGAGAGGTGATGCACTTCACAGTATACTCTGTTTGCTCTTCCTCATTCAATGTCACTAACATGAAAGCAACTTCTTCTTCTGATATATTATTGTCCAAAATGTTTTGATGCAACTTTTGACCGGCTAATGCATAGTACTCACTAGATTGTAATTCAGGGATTGTCGTGCCAGGGGTTCCTATTTTTCTGGGACTCTGTGAAGAAGAAGGAGTTGGTTCTGTGCCAATAGTTTCAAGCACTAACTCTTTCTCTTCTATATTTGGCGAATCTGCTGAAGGGATCTTGTCTTCTAGTAACTTGAATCCTACCTTGCAACAACAGACCTTTTTTGGTTTTTTGCATGCAGTACACTGTTTCTCCTTAGTGAGAGAGGTTAGTATTGATCCTATACCTGGAATTATAGAGACTTTAGGTGTGGATTGTTTCGAGTATTTTTTGGCAAACAGTAGGTTCAGTAGATGAGTCTGATTCTCCTGGGTCAGAGTCCGGAACTAGTGTTTGAAGCTCTATAGGCATAGATTCATCTGATATAGACATTGTTTTATCTGTGCTAGAAGAAAATTGAGAGAATATCCTTCTGTTGGATCTAAAAATACTGAGTCAAGTAAAATGGAGAGCGGTTATAAAGGACTGTTTTTGATAATAGCTTTATTATGTCATATAGACTTGATTGATTAATGATTTACATTTTTATACACGATTGTAATTTAGAAAAAAAAATAAGTTATTGTCACAATACCATAGTTGGTTTTGTACTTTGTTATACTTTTACTTTGTAAAATTAGATAAGCTCTTAATAAAAGCTTACCGATATTGGCAATACATCTAGGTGTTATATCTGTGGTCGCAGGGTAAAAGTTCTTAAGTCAGAAATCAGTGTATCGAGATATACGAGGTTGAACTATTTAGACTTTTCTCCAGAATCATAACTTTAAAATCGTTACTAAATGTAAGAGTTTAACTGTATATCAGTTTTAGTTTATTGTTTATCTAGGAGTTGCATAGCTAACTAGTTCAATTTTTTTTAATTCATAAAAAAATGACTTAAGTAGTTATGTCCCAATGGGTTATATGACTTTTTTAGTTCACTGATCTCAATACATGTTTTATGAAAAAATGGCATCTGTAGTCGTTATTTATTGTCTTACATATTCAAAATAAATAACAAAAACGTATTATATAGTAAATATTTAATAAAATCATACAAACTAAACATTTTTTGATCACTAAGGAAAAAAATCTTAAAAAATAAATTAATATTACTCATCATCAGAGGTGACGCTATCCTTTGTTCTAGACCCAGAGATTTTTAGGTTTTTATAATAGTCATGGAACACTGGATTTATTAAATGTAAAATGCTGACCAAGTCTGCTTTTTTCTCTTTACTTATAGGTAAATACTCAGTATACTGAATTGGAGGCCTTAAATCTGTAATATTTTGTCCTCTTCTTAGAAAAGAAATTTTTTTAAAAGGCTCATCTAATTCTAGAGACCTTTTATATAACAAAGTACACCTATTTTCTTCTTTTAAAAATCGCATCCATTGTATATCATGCCACACAAATTTATTATTCTCGTTATCTTTTGTTTTTAATTGCAGTTCTTTGGCATATAATTGCTTAAAATCTAAGAAATCTGGTTGGTCCATATCTACTACAACATATTTCGGTCCCATTGATCGGATTAACTGAGACCAATCACGTGGATGATGAATATCCATGGATGTCTTCTTTTTATTCTTTTCTATATTTGCATGCACTGTGTCACACTCCATATGTGAATGTCCACTTACCATAAATTTGTGATCTATAGACTGCAAAGTAGAAGAGTTTTGTAACGCTGAAAAACACATTGCAGCTATATGTGAATTTCTATTTTGACCTGTACATGTGTCAGAATACATGATCAAATCAGTTATATCTGGTGAAAGTTGAGAAATATATCCATATACGCATGAACCAATCTGGTTACCACCTCGTCCTGCGATTGTTTCATTCCAGATAAAATTCCAAGCTACTCCTGTGTCACCTTCATGGACTGTTAAATTATATACAGCCAATTGACGTTTATAAAATATTATAGATGAACGTAGATAAGGAGTTTGTAAGCTGACTGTTTGTCAGCTGTAGTTTTATGTCTGTTCCATTCAATTACGAGATCTTGTTTTTCTAGTTCATCTTTACATAATTTCACTTTTAGTTTGAATGTATCGCACGTATTGCATGTATCATTATGGGGCACTTTGAAACTTAAATTCATTTCCTTAAAAATATTTCTATACACATTGTAGGATACTGGGTGATCCGTTACTAATTCTTTGTAAAGTAAATACATTACAGAAATATTTAAATGAGATGGAAGATACTTTTTTTCAGTATGTCTTCTGCTGTAATGGCTTTCATATATTGGGAACGAATTTATATGATTGATGATTTTATCTTTTCTTTCCTGTGTAGTTTTTGTTACTGGTGAATGTCTTCCTCGATTGTCAGTACTTATAGTTGCTCCATCGGAATTTTTCAGTATTTTGTTAAGTTGAACTTTGATGAACCCTTCTGTGATATCAAAAGTTTTCATAAAACATACTTTACATATTTTATGGAATTCTCCATCAATTGTTGCCTTAATCTTGGACGTAATCAAGCTAACAATATAGTCTGCTCGACGATCGTGACTTCCTAAAGACCAAAAACCAGAAAACAGCACTTGTCGTTTAGCCGTCTCAAATCTAATACTACAATTCAATCGACATGGTAATAAATCTTGACAAAATTTACCCCGTACTTCTTTACCACTCTCTGTGACATATAGTTGACCAGTATTTCTGCAAATCTTCCTTGTTTCTCTAACAATCCTTGATCGTTTAGAAGGGACTGTTTGAACTATGTCTGTGGTTCTCTTTGTTTTTACTGCTGTAGTACTTCCTCCTGTGTCTCCATTTGGGGCACTAGTAGCTTGTGGTGTGGTAAGTTCAATTTTCTTCTGTCCTGCAACATTGTTATCTAAATTGTTCATTGAAATGTCTAAATTTGATTCGTCTAAATCTGGAATGTAATCTGGGTCCTTGTCTTCATCATCACTATTATGAAAAGGATCCTCAAACTCATTTAAAATTTGCCCTAAAAAAATATGAAACGCTATTAAAAGAAAACACGAAAAAACAAACTGCAGCTAGAAAAATAGTTTTGTTAAACTCTGTTTCCACTTACATTTATCTTTTGAGACACTCTGTATATCATCACCCCATGTACTGCTTGATGCTTGACTGTTGCCTGATATACATGTCTGGGTCATATCCTCTGGGTCTTTGTATTCATCATCACTATTATGATAAGGATCCTCAAACTCATTTACGGTTTGCCCTGAAAAAATGTGAAGTGGTATTAAAAGAAAACATGAAAATACAAACTGCAGCTAGCAAAATATGTTTGTTAAACTCAGTTCTACTTACATTTATTTTTTGAGGCACTCTGTATACTATCACCCAATGTACTGGCTGTTGTTTGACTGTTGTCTGATGTGCATGTGGTTGCCTGGTTTTTATCTGATAAATAAAACAAATATGTCAAAATCAAAACCAAATTATATTTCTATGAAATCAATACAAATCATAAGTTTACTAGTAACAAATTTAAAATAATGTACGTGTTAAAAACGTTGCAATTTTGTAAACTAATAAAATATGATCATAATCTCACTAGCATTTTACATAGTAATAATAATTATATTAAGTAATACTTACAGCTATATTGTTTAGATAAACCCATTAGGGCTAGTTTCTTTCCTCTTGAAAAACTATCCATTTCGTTATAAACTATTATAGTTTAGATAAAATACAAACTTTTGTAACACAGAACACAGTGATAAACAAGCTTCTAAAACATAAATGGTCAATCACAGTAAGAAATTTGATTCTTATGTGATGCTAATTCAAGGTTGCCAGCAATTGTTATAACCGGGTATAACTTCCTAAATTGTCATAGGAACTTTTGCTCAAAATTTCATAAGCGAATTAGTTCTTATGTCACTAAGGTTGTTTTACCCAAATACAAACAAACAATATTTGACTTATGTTATTATTTCCTCAATTGTATTGTAGAAACGAATCGTTATATAGGACTCAGGTTTTTTTACCCACAAATATAGATAGCCACCTATCTGTTGGTCCATTAAACTCAAAATGGCCAAAACTTGACTTAAGAACTTTTACCCTGCGACCACAGATATATTTTATTGTAATAATATTATATTTTTCCCAGTCTTCTTTAATATTAACATTGTATAAGATTGATTCTGAAGGCATCCAGATCACTTAGTGGCGCACCTTTCTTTTTGTTAAGTATAGGTTCCTTTGAATTTCGTGGTAATAATTGTGGTTTGTGTTCAGTACTACCTCGTTTTATTTTATTCAAATATATGATATAGTTCGTATCATGTATACCATCAACCAATGATTTGGACTCCCTCAACTTGTAAGGGCACTTCACCTCAACAATATAATCATCACCACATAATCGTTCAGAGCGTTCTCGGGTGACCAAAACTTTTAATGGGTTGAAACGCAAAAATGAACAAAGCTTATTTTTGGCAGGGCTAATTTATGTGCATGGAATTGAACCAAGACGACTTAGGAAACTTGAAGAAGATGCTAATCTTCATGACTTTTCATATGAATATAAGGTAAGAGTGTTACGTGAAGGCAAGCTGCAAGAAATAAAAGTTTGCTTTAAAGCTTTTATGTCGTTTTTTGGTGTCACTAACCGACGCTGGATAACAGTTAAGAAAGCTCTTGTGCAAACAGGTAAAGCTCCTATTGATGGTAGAGGTATGCATAACGACCGTCCCCGTGAATTACCAGATGACACAAAAAAAGCCTTGATAGATTTTTTTCTTCTCTTAAGGGTAGAAAAGCGCACTATAGGCTTAAGGACCTCAAAAAGAGTTTACCTACCTGAACATTTAAATATAAAAAAGCTGATGGTTTTATTCTTGAAAAAGTATAGCATTTTGAAATCTCTTACGAATTATATCGCAAAATGTTTGTTACAAAATTTAATTATCAACTATCAACCCCCTAACTTCTCGCTATCCTTACTGTGAATGCTAATAATGAATTATTTCCACCCTGTCTAGACAGACTAGTAAATTCCTCGTCATTTTTTTTGTCGTTAGTTAATAAATGTTCTGAATGGGACCCAATAAAATTATGTAATATGCACGTAGTTAGTACCATCTTGTCTACAATTTCTGGTTTCAATTGGATTCTTCTATTATAAATTCGAAATCTTTGAGATAAGATTCCAAAGGCATTTTCTACCACCCTCCTATCTCTTAATAATCGGTAATTGAATTGTTGTTTTTCTATGTCATCACATTGAGCTGCAGGATATAGCCTCATTAACCCTTTAACAGGCAAGATCGTATAAATTATCTGTTGAAGTTGATTTTTTTTTTCAAGTAAATATAGGCAAAAGTAACTTATTTTTAAATTCTCTGCTAAAACTCTTGTCTAGAATGAGTGCTAGGTGAGAAATAGTGAAGACCGTCTACAGACGGTCTTACCGGGTTATGAGTAAAAAATAACTTTGGTAGATGTTTATTATAAAACAAGTTTCATTGAGAGAAATGAGTATAAAACATGTTATTTTTGATGGTGGTAATCCCAAAAACAATTTTTATCGACTGTACCGCATAAGTGGAGGTCACATTTGGAACAGACAAGCTGCGTATCAGATTGTTTACACAGCTTACATCTCTTTTTGCCTTTTCTGTTTACCCAAACTGGGAAATGGTTTTCACCATCAAAACGTATATCCGCAACTTGATGAACCGCCCTTTTTTCAACACCAGATGAACTAGTTTTACCAGAAGAACCAGGTTCACCATTTCGAGCTGATGATGGTCGACCAACATTTCGTTTCTCCTTGAAAGAAACAAGGCCAGATGCTATCTCTTCACGGAATTGTGGAAGAGATAGAAGCCTTTCCTCTTCACAACAGTCACTGAAATTATTTGCTTTTTCGGCACATGTACGTTTATATAGAATGAATGCGTTTGTGGCGGCCATGTCGACAAAATGATAGAATATCCGAATCATAATATTTCTGCTTTTAGCTCGAATGTGATATCGACCCATAATTCCATCCATCAGATCGACTCCACCCATGTGAGCATTATATTCACGTATGATTTGAGGACAATCAACTTCGATGTGTTTTCTATGCTTCCTGTCATATCGAGGTACTTTCGCTTTTTGTTGATTTGGAGTGGTTTTTATAAAAGGTTCAATGCCAACATATGTCGATGCCAGGCGGAGACATTTGTTATCCTTCCATAATACAGTGCTTACATCGATTCCATAACTTGAGGTCATGTATTCTATGGAAAACCCTCTACTTTCTTTATTTACTTCACTATCAGTCGGCAGTTTACACGCTGGTATACGATTAGCTACAAATAAAAAATTAAAACATGTATCATTTTGAATAATAGGAACCACGGAAAATTTATTTACCTCTTACTGTGCCTAAACTATAAATTCCTCTTGCACGTAAATATACCAAGAGGGGAAGCGAAGTATAGAAGTTGTCAAAATACAAGATGTGATGCACGAAATTAGGAATCGTTTGTGATAAACGAACGACAACATTTGATGTTGCTCCTAGGTCTGGTGTACCAGGCAAGACAACATTATCTCCGGCGTCATTGTAAATTTCGAAACGATAGGCAAAACCATGTGAATCACATAGAACAAACAATTTCACACCCCATTTGTGCGGCTTATTTGGCATATACTGACGCAAATGGTGTTTCGTTTTTGTAGAGCACATCTGTTCATCAACACAAAGTCTAGCCGTTTTGGGGATGGAATCAAACCTGTCATTCAGTTTGTTAGCTAGCGTACGAATCCGAAATAATGAATCATATCCTGGTTCACCTTTCTTCTTTCGTTGTGAGTTATCTTGAAAGGATAAATACTTCTTGATGGTAATAAATCGTTTCGATGTCATAAAGTTCTGAATTGGCACAAAAGCATTGTTTCCCCAATAACTATCTATGTTAGGATAGCGATATATAGACATATAGAGCGATATACCAATATAATGTCTTATTTCGTCTGCAGTTGTGCTGAATGTTGTATTTATATTTTTTTCCAAAGCACAACGGTTTGTCTCTTCAACAATCAATTTAACGATATCGTCGTTAAAAAAATAATTAAATAATTGAATCGGTGTTTGAAGCTGTTTGACTGTTCTAGGAAGAGATGAATCGCCACGAAAAGCCACATCATTTACGTGTAAACGCATTGAGCGATTACGCCACATCAATTTGAAAACCTCTTTCGAGTTTTTTGATATTGTATTCAAAGCTGAAATAAAAAAGCCAATATACCTAACGTATAAATATGTTTTCTATATAATCTTACCTCCTCCAGTAAAGCCACCATCTTTAGGTTGAACTAATGGCCCAGTAGCTTCAAGAGTTGGCAATGGAGATCGAGCTCTTTTGACTAGTTTAAAATATGCATTTGTAGAAGTGGATGTAGAAGGTTCTTGTACATCAAATGTTTCGGTTGATACATCATCCAAAACTTATGTTGAAGAAGCTGCTGGTTGATCAACTTTGCTAATATCCAGTGACAAATTTATACAATTTACAAATGCATCGGTTGTCTCAGCTTCAAGCATTTCCTGTATGCATTCGTCAATAACTTGTGAGTTATCCTCTGATACCTCGGATAGGCTGTAAGGCTTCTCAGGCTCAATACTATCATCAACATAGTCGGGATCCACAAATCGTCGTTTTCAGCTGAATCAATAAATTCGAATAATTGTTCATCAGGCAATTCTTCCAAATTGATTTTGTTCTTATAGTTACGATTTAGACGATGCATCTATCACACAAAAGAAAAATAATAGAACAGGGAAGTAAGAGTGTTCCTACGCCCAAAAAAATAACAAAAAATTTCATACTGAAGGAGATATTTTTTATCTGAATTTGATACTGAAGGATAAAAATTTCATACGTAAATCAGCAAGACCGTCTTGAGACGGTCTTGATATTTTTTTTTATAAAGCCTATTTGCACAAAAGTTTTTATTAAAAGCATATTATATTACTAAAACAAGAAATATAATGTACTTACCATAAAATTACTAAGTTGATCACTTTGATCTAAACGTGTTTTTTGATGATTTAAAAATAATGTTTATGAATAAATAATTTTCACTGTCACTTTATGGTATGGTACGGTACTTGACTAACGATAAGAACGTAATCGCGATGCCAGAATGTGTTTAGTTGTATAGAATAACGTCAAGTAAGGTTTTTTAAAGTTTGACGTCGTTACTGTGGTAGCAAAAAACATTTGGTGTAAGTTTTATACGATAAAATATAAAGACCGTCTTAAGACGGTCTTGCCTGTTAGAGGGTTAAGTAGGGCTCTATGAAGAAAGCCTCATCACCTACAATAACATGTGGCATCTTCAATTTCATTCCCGGTAAAGGTTTATCCTCTAACTTAATTTCGTTTTCTAAATATTTTTTTTTAAATAGGAATTATGAAAAATGCCTCCGTCACTATTCTTGCCATAGCTGCCTATGTCGACAGCAATTATCTTATACCTAGCATACACTAATGCCATTAGGTTTATGGAAAATGATTTCTTATAATTAAAAAATAATGAACCACTATTTGCTGGAGCAATTATTTGAACATGTTTCCCATCGATTACCCCAATGCAATTAGGGAAATTCCACAAGTCTTGAGCTATTTCTTGCCACTTGTGAGGATTAGGGACAGG